ATAATCAAAGCAAATACACCGAGTTGCAAATTGCCCGCCCCCCGCCCCCGCCTTGAAAGTGACCCCATTTCAGACCTTGATAGTTCAGTCAACACCAGGCACTCTTCCCATGCCAGTAAGTTTAACCTCACATGTTTTCTCAATGAATATCTTCCTTGAATCCTAATGCTAATGTCACTTACGGAAACAATCTGCTCCTGTTTTTACTAATACCTTCTAAAGAATCAACCTATATTGCATTGTGGAGATCAGTTCTTCCATGGAAAATCAAAGAGATAACTTTTTTCATTGGAAGTGGTGGTGTTTTTTTACCTGTGACCACAACCTATAAGGGTCTGTGAAAATTTAGTTGTCCATGACCAGCTGGGCTGGAACTAGGGCAAGGTAAGGCCTCAGGTACAAAATTTAAGGAGATGCCAAAACCCTACTCCTCCAGATAAATATTTTAAAGCAAACATTAAAAATTTCATTGTTAATGCAAAAACGCATGATGAACAAAATATCACCTTAAATAAAAACAGGTTCTGACCCTTTTGTGTGACTTATCTCATTTGCCTTACCATAATCCCATCCCTGATGACCAGCATTAAAAAATCAGAATAGAAAATATTAGAGTGTGAGTGCATTATAAAATATTAGAGGTGTCTTGTGTGTTTGTGTGTGTGTGTGTGTGTGTGTGTGTGTGTGTGAGAGAGAGAGAGAGAGAGAGAGAGAAGGAGGGGGGAGAGAGAGAGAGAGAGAGAGAGTGTGTGAATGAGAGAATGGATCCTACTGTAAGATGTAGAATGTAAACTGAGCAGCAGCAGTTAAAGTCAGGGACGCTGGAGCCGGATTGCCTGCATGTCTGGCTTTTGGGTGTCTTACTTAACCTTTTGTTGCTTTCCTTTCCTCGTCTGTAAGACGGAGATAAGAACACTGCCTTCACTGTTGGCAGGTTGGCCACTTAATGTAGCCAAACAAGGACAATTTTGATAGTGGAAAGTGGTACTAACAGGCAATGCAGCTTTATAATGTTAACTATTGCAAAAGTTAAAAAGGCATTACCAAACAATGAAACAGTTACACATTTATATCCTGTAAAAATAACAATCATTCAATCATGAACATTCAGATGTTCAACAGCAGGAATGTTCTGCCTCTGTTTTGTTTCATGTTCATGGAATTTTCTATTTTTCACTGACCCCACTGAGTGGTGGCCTTTGGGCTTCATGGATTTTGCATGCCATGTCATGGACCAAAACTGGTACCCCAAAGGGGCTGGCAGGACAGGAGAGTCCAACCACTGACAGAGACCGACAAAAGGATTCATTTATCCCCAGCCTCTTGTGCCTGAGCGCACTGCGTTTTATCAGCAAGCCCCTTTGAGCTATTCTGGAAAGAGTGTCTGTTGTAACATTGCTTCCGGAAAGAGCCAAGAAAAGAGGGCAGGGATAATGATGGTCATTTTCTAGATGACGGCATGTGCTAAAGTGGGCATGTGTGCCCTGTGCAGGTGTCTCCCCGCCCCGGAAGGTCACACCATGGCAGAAACCGGGTGTACAAGGTGGAGGGCGGCCACACCCATCTCAGGTTATTTTATGCTGAATCACACAAAGCATCAGGAAAATAGGCAAAACCAGGGCTCTTTATGGTAGGCGAGGCTGGGTGATCGCACTGCTCACACAGTTGTGGGAATTAAATCATTTAAGGGGGAGTGCCTAGAACACTGCCTGCTACATGGTAAGCACTCAAGCTCTGTTAGCTCTTGTATCCTTTTTTTTTTCTTACCATGGTTCACAGTCAGAAAACTTGAAAAGCGCTACCTTAGAGAGAAAGACGCCTAAGGGACAAATAATTGGAAATGTCTCCTGCTCTTTTTGTCAAACTGGAATCGTCAATGACAATAGCTGCCTTGACTGCAAAGGTCACGGCTGATTTGTTTTGCTCCCCACCTCTCCCTCAAGCCTTAACTTTTTGTTAATTAAACTTCGTATTTTGAATAGCCATTTTGAGACGCACGGTCAAAAGCAAGAACATCTTTAAATAAAACATGTAAGCTTGGATTTCTCAAATATTTTTTTTCTTTCAGAAAACGAAGCAGTAAGTACACCCATATGAGTATATGACTAAGGTTGACTAGAGGAAAAATTGACAGCAAGGCGGTCGGGGAATTGGGAAGCTGAGGATGGGGTCAGTTATTTCTATGGATATTGAAGCCCTTCCAGGACAGATAAAGTTAATCGGAGTGTTGGATTGCTAGTGAGAATGTGCTGAAGTCATCAACTAATAAGGAATGGGGCTGTAGGCTGGGAGATAACAGCAGTGAGGGGGGAAAGCAGTGCTGAAGTTGAATCAGCTGCAGAGGCTTCAGGGGAGCTGGGTGTGAGGAAGGAGGAAAGTGAAATGATAGTTCAAGCATTGCAGTGAGGAACAAGGAGGATACTTGAGATGCCTAATACGGGCAGGCATTACAGGGAGACTCCTTAGGGATGCCACGTGTATCTAATTACTTGCCAACTCTACTGGCATGTCTCATAAGCATCTAAATTTAACAGCATCAAAATATAAATTTTGAGTGCTACCCCAAATCTGCTGCTGTCACAATAGTCCCCATCTTAAATAGTAACACTGCCCACCCAGCTGCTTCAGCCCAAAATCTGAGCCATGTTTTTCTTTTCCTCGCCTTCCCACATGAAATGCATCAGCATGACCTATTGGTTTTACGCCCAATGGATAAACCACTAGAATGTAAGTTTCATCATCGGATTGCTCTTTGTGTGTCCTGTCCAACAGTGTATTCTAAGGCGATAGACAGTGCTTGGCTCACAGCAGGAAGCAAATATTTGTGGAATGAATGAATGAATGAATGAATCAATCAATCTTGAACCTGACCACTTGGCTCCACGCTCTTGACCGGTACCACAGTCGAAGCCACCAGCATCTCTCACCTATAGTTTTGCAGTAGCCTCTTAACTGATCTGCTGCTGCCATTCTTGACTCCACAGACTATCCGTACAATGGTCTGCCACTTGCTATGGTGAAACTAACCAGTGGATTTTATCATTTAGAATAAAATTCATTCCTTTACACTGGTCTGCAAGGTCCTGTATGAACATGAGCTTAGCTATTGCTGCAACCTCATTTTCTACCACTTTGTCTTTCTCGTTTGCTACTACCTGCTGTAGTACTGCCTAGGTTTCCCCAAACTTACTTTATCATAATAAGACTCACCGGGACTCCTGTGAAAAATACTTGAGTAATTCCCAGTGACCTCTCTGTAGACTCTGATTCATAAGGTTTGGGGTGGAACACGGGCATGCGTACTTTTAACAAGCACTCCAGGTGATTCTTATGATAAGATTAGGTACAGTTACAGCCTAGGAATCCTCCCCACAGCATTCCAATTACTCAGACTTGAGAAGCAAAATGAAACTCATTTTCTGTCTCTGGTTTAGGAGAACATGCCGTCAGTGGCCACCTGCTATGCTATGCCAGAGAATTCTGGCAGTACAGTCTGTGTGCCGCAATACCCTCACATTCTAGTAAAATTTCCTGGGTAGCACAATGGCCTCAAACTTGTGTCACTTTATGCCAGATTCCTGGGGATGAGGTTGAGGAAATGGTTGTCGCCGATAGGGAGGCGGGGAGGAGAGAACTGAGAAAGGCTTGATGCTCCACAGTTTCTAAGAATGACAGTATTTGCGAGTGCACAGGCATGCATGTTTCCTTAGGCTGTGGCAGGACAGCATCGTCCTGAGGGGTCAGGAAGAGAAAGAGACAGGGCAAGCAGCAGGATAGCAGTCCGGAGTATGTGCAGGAAAGTTTGTAGATGTAATCGGGACTCAGTGAGCCCATACACGTATAAGCTCCTTAGTGTAAGCATCAGCTAAACCACAACAGATGCTCAGTTTTCTATCGAGAGCTGGGAGCATTGAACTTGACAATGAAACATTTTTGGTTTTGCTCTGACAGGGTAGCGTGTAACTATGGCTTTACCAACAGGTTTAATTTATCAATTTGGAGGGGAGGATTTTGAAAAATATCTCTTATCTCTTGCATATAAAATTTTAACTTCGGTTCTCTAGCGCTATTATTACCAGCACTAACATTCTCTATATCACAGGGCATGTTTCTGTTCCAGAATCTGAAACTGAAAACAAGTGCGAGCCTTCTGGTGTAAACCAGAGCCGTGCTTCTCAAAGGTGTCCACACACTGTAATGGCCTGGTGGGAGGGAAGTTCAGAAATACTGACTCCTGTGCTCTGTCCCAAGACTGGGACTGAACTGGTTTGGAGCATGGGCAAGGTTTGGGACTTTTGAAAGATTCCCAGGCTCATTGAATGTTCAGGCAAGTTTTTTGGGAACCACTAAACTGGAGATTTTGAGCCATGCATTTCAAGTCTCAAGCCTCTGGATAGTGTGAAGTTCAGGTTTCTGCATTAAAGTTTAAGTCAAGACAATAAGATCCATCTGATTGGATTTGTCAAATTGCAATCAACATAGGTAGGGACCTTATTCACATAAAGCCAGAGCAGTTGATGAAAAGGTTAATCAAGTAAGTTATGTGCACAAAGTTGCACATACACACACATATAAATCATCAATGTTCAAAACAACAGGATTTTAAAGTAATTTTGTCAGATTGAGTAAAAATCTCCAATTAGAGTTGTCAGATAAAACACAGGGCTCTCAGTTACATTTGAGTTTCAGGTAAATGATGAATAATTTACTAATATAAGTATGTCCCATGCAATTTTGGGGACATACATATGCTAAATACTGTTTAGTGTTTATCTGAAATTCAAGTTTAGCTGCGTGCCCTGTATTTTTATTTGCTAAGTGACAACCGTGCCCCTGTTATAAAGGACTAACCTGAGCAGTAATTCAACAGGGCGGGACAGGTCAGGGTGAAAATTAACCTTAGCCTCTTGCCCATTATGTGTTCTTTTGTTTCCTGAATTACATTGGCTAGCTTGCTCACCACCTCACGTGCAACCTGTCCACTTGAGGCTGAACTGTACCTTATTCTGCCTCTTCTGTCTTCTTCGGAGCCGCAGGAACTCCTTGTGTTGCCGGGAAACAAAGTTCACTGCTGCGTACTCCAGCAGGGCAGCGAACACAAACAGAAGGCACACTGCCATCCAGATGTCAATAGCTTTGACATAGGAGACCTAAGGGAGACAGGCAGAGAGAGGCGCCATGAAAACGTGTGCGGAAGCCCTGTTCCTAATGTCATGAGCAGCAGAAGGACCTCCCTTGCAGATGCTGGGCAGAGCAGGGAATGTTACACGCACGCCTCCCCCGCCCCCCCTGAGCCCTGAGCCTTGTCCCGTCTCTCCCAGTGTAGCGCTCCCGCTCAGGCAACCTCCTCCCCTAGAACAGCTCCACAGATGACTGCAAGAATTTCCTTAATGAAGAAAAGAGAAATAAAAGCAAAGCTTTGAGGTAAAATAGAGTTGACACCATGCTCGGAACTACTGATTTTCTTGTCCCCCCCCCAATATTTAAAAGCAGATATAATTAAGATCATTCCAAAACATGGATGAGAAATAAACTATGTATGGCCTACAGCCCTTCAAAAACCAATTTTTTAATTTTCATCAATCTGTTGACCCTACCTGGCATGGAAACACATTTCTTAAATGATTTGAAACTATCACAATTCAAGGACATTGAACCAAAATAAAGCATCAGGGCTCTAGCCTTGGGGAAGGTACCTGGTTGGTTGAGTATTTAGTACAACTTACAGTTTAATAAAGCAGATTTTCAAGGCAAATACGTCTTACTTGCAAGGGAAAGTAAGCCTCATCTCACTTAACTTCCAATTATTTCTCTAAATATAAGGGGGGAAATAACTAGAGGAAGTTGTAATATATTAGATTCCAGACCACAAAGGATGCTTATCAAACTGCCACCTGAATGTGTGTGAACTAGTTCTAATTTTTAAATCGGTTTTCCTATTTTTTTGGTAGGTAACACTGAGTTCTTGCCAATCAGTATTTTAAACATTCTATATGTATTAGTTTTCTAACCTTCGCAGCAATTGTATTGCCTCCAATTTCTGATGAGGAAACGGGGTTACTGAGGGGTTAAATTATTGCCCGAGATCACAAAGTTAATATGTGGCAGAGCTAAGATTGGAATTGGACCCCAGCCTGACTAGTGAACTTCCTTTCTGGACACACACAAACACATTAGTAGGATTATACAGTTTGTATCTTGCATTTCCCTTTGACCTTTACAGTGAGCATTTTCCATGTCATTTAACTTTCTTCTAAATCATCATTTCCAATGTTTGTATAATGGCCCATACCTTGATTAATTATTCTGTATGATAGGACATTTACGTGATTTTAGTTTTATTTTGGGGGGCTGTGAAAATTCTTCCTCCCAAATATTTGACTGTATGTTTCTTTGTGAAATCAATTTTTAAACTGGGATTATGGGAATAAATGCTGTGAAAATAGGTTCTTGACTTAGAGAGTTAGTAGCAGCACAGAGGATGTAAAAGCAGAGACTCCACAGCGAGATGCCCCAATAAGAAACACTGCTCTGTTCCTGACACGCTCCATAACTTTGCCCAGTGTTAGCCTATCTGTGGCCCCTTCCTCCTCTGTATGTGGAATAGTAGTACCTGTCTTAGAGAATTGTATGGATAAAATCACTTAATATATGCAAAGTGCTTAAAATAGTGTCTGGTACAGAATAAGTGCTATATAAATATTTACGATTTGGCTGCATATTGGTGGGATTTTATTGGAGACAATTTTGGAAGAGATAGAAAAACCAACAAGGAAAAAAGAAATCACTCACCATCTTAATATATTCCAATTACTTTTAAGGCCACCACCTTCCTTACAGTATTTGTCTCAGTCAATCTCAACCACTTGTCGGTCCCACATAAGCGGTGACAAAGTGATCCAGCACTTCGTCATCTTCAGCCCTGTCAATGATCACTCTTCCTACCAGGGCCGCTGTTCTCATTCTTTCTGATTGACAGGCTCCTCAGAATCCTTCAGGACTTTAGGGGCTGCTTTTCTTTCCTCCCTTATCACGTTTTATTGAAACTATCTGCTGTTCCTTTTTAGACTACAAACTTCCCTGATTCCACCACTAGCTCTGGAAGTTGTTGTTTTTTTTTTCCGGGACAGGCCCTGTGAGGTGCTACTCTTTGTATCAGCAGCACAGGACCTGGCAAATAGTGAGTAAGCATTAGACATGTGGCATGGATGGATACATAAATGATTGAACAAAGGAAGGATGGAAGGAATGAGAGAAATATCTGGCCACCTTCCCATTGCTGTGCTTTAGTTTCAACAACGCTACACTGTATAACATTATCCACAATTTTGTATGTTTGATATTTTTAAGAGTGAACTGTTAGTGTATTTCAATCCTCTCAGCACACCTAGCATTCCTGGAATGTTTCCTTCCTTAATAAGCAATAATCTGTTTTGTATTTGCTCCTCTGGAGCAATCCTATTCTCTTGTAATAATAGAGCATTTCCAATCACAGTGTTCCCAGTTATATATTATTCAGATGGCCCATAAATGTTTTAAGACCCAATAATGAAAGGAATTTGTCAATGCTTGAGACATGTCCATACCAAAAGCCGAGTCCAGTAGAGCTGACCGTCATTCCTCCCCTTCCTGGTGTTTGTTTACAACATTCGGTAATCTGTAAACCATTTCCCCATCTCTTTCTGGCCATCAGCAGGCCAAGCACGTATTTGGCTTCTTTTATAGCTGCTCATAAATGAATCCTTTCACTCTCTTAATCATTTTGGTTGGTTTCTGACTCTTTCCAGCATTGAAGTGCTGGTATTAAATGCATTATTCACATGGATTTAGAGGGTGTTGTGAGACATCTATTACATATGGTGTGATGTCCCTTGGCGCTAGTCTCTCAGGATTGAAATACCTTTTTGTTGCTTTTACCCAGCTCTGATGTCAGATTCTCTCTCTTGGGCTGCTAATCCTTAGATGTTTTTAGCTCACATCTTCCCCGTCACATTCTTTTTTATGATCCTTGGGCTGACACGATGCCTTCCTGAGCTACTTTACTAAAATCTTGCAAAATAGTTTTCAAAGGTAATTAAGCTCTCAAAATGCTATTATGACTCACTGAGTTCCAGGCATATTTCCTTTAGAAAAATAAACATTGCTAGCCTACTACATGGAAGGCACTGCACTAAGTGCTGGTGGGAGATGGGGTAGAAGATAAAAGGATAACGAAGGCTCACATTAGCCCTTTGTAGGACTTCCCAGACTACACCCCAGAAAATCCCATTCACACTCTGCTCCAGAAAGTGTCATTCACATAGGTCAGGGAGCCACGAATTATGGCCTGTGGATCAAATCTGGTCCACCATATGTTTTATAAATAAAGTTTTATTGGAATACAGCCATACTCATTAATTTACATATTGTCTACAGATGCTTTTGAACTAAAATGGCATAATTGAGTAGTTGTGACAGAGACCATATGGCCTGCGAAGCCTAAAATACTTACTATGTGGCCTTTTACAGAAGACTGCCAGCCCTTGACCTAGATTATAGTGTTGTTTGGTTTGTCCTGGGTTTGTACATCCCAGTGGCCCTGCTTGATACTTGAGAAACCCATGGTCTATTGAGGGAGAAAGTTATGTGACAGAATGGATGGTCCCATGTACCAAAGTACAGGAAAGATCAAAAGGCCGATGGAGTATAGGGAGGTCGATGTTGACAGGGAAAATCAGGAAAGGCTTTATTGATGGATGGTGTGGCATTTGACCTAAGGCTCGAGGAAAGCCAGACCTTGGATGGGTGGGAAAAGCTTGAAAGGCAAAGCCATGAACCTGGGAGAGAGATGGGCTTGGGAATGGTGAACAGTCCAGTGACCAGGGTATGCCAGGTACCTGGGAAGGGCATAGTGAAGCGTGGACAGATGCGCTGGGCCAGCGCATTGAAGGCCAGCCAGAGGGGTTTGCGTTTCAGAATGCTTATAATGATAGGCTAATGATGATTTTGAGGTGGGGTACTGATGTGTAAGTCCTTTTCTAATATTTGTGAATTTCTCTGTCTACAAAAGCAAGAGTCTTAGCCATAGCAGACATTTTCACTCCTTATAGAAATTTACCTCCCCTTGTCTTGCTGCTTTCAACTCTACACAGGTCTGGTTCTCTTCCAAGCTTTCTAACAACATCTCTGAATCCTCTGCTGGAATATTTTTTATTCTGTTCCTTGAGCTCTTTCCTTTTCAGTTTTCACTTTTAATCTTCATGTCCTTAATGAATCCATTCACTCCTATAGTTTTCTTCTTACTCTTGTGTGTGCGTGTGCGTGTGCACACGTCTTGCAGCAAGAGACTGGCCAAGTTCTCATGAATCCCATTTCTTCTTCCTGGGACACCAGTAAACTAAAATTTTCATTTCAGTTGGACCCCCAGTGGGCAGAAGTAATGTACACCATTTCAAGGCCTCTAATCTCCCACGGGATCCTTGGAGCTTAACCCTTCTGCAGCCACTTTGTATGTCACCTATTTAAGATGGCAGTGCCACAAAATGGAAGAAGTCGGGATTCTTAAAAAGGCCCTGAGCCACCCACTCCACTGTGGAGTGTAATGTGAATGAGAAGTAAACTTTTATTGTATTAAGCCACAGAGATGTCAGGGTTTTGTGTTCCCAACACTCCCAAATTCATCACTCAGACCTGACCTCCCACCAGCATTCCTGTGTTAATTCTAAAAGGCCTGCAATTAGCATTTGTAATATCAAATTCATGAAATGCCCCTCCTTCCCATTTATCTCATTTGAATCTTTCCTCCTACTAGCAACCTTAGTTTCATCATTGGTTCTTTCCTTGCCTCCATCAATAACATTCAGTCTATTGCAAAAGCTCACCATTTCTTTCTGCAAAGCACCCTTGAGTTTACCCTTTTGTCTCCATTCCAAAGATGTCACTACACCTGGGACCATCAACACTTACACCTGGTTATGATAACAATTTCCTAACTGATCCCCCTGTGTTCAGTTTCTCTCCATGGCACTTTATCCTTTTGCTTCTGCACGATTAAATTTAAAACACCAATTTTATTTTGCAACACACCTGCTTAAGAACGACTCTGGCTGCCTATTACAAGCTCTAGTATCCAAGATCTTGCACAGCATGTGCTCACCCTAGTTATTCAGTC